TCCTTCAGTGAAAAAAAAGAGATTTAAACGTCCCTCTCATGAACAGTTTGAATGAAACCTGGATCAGCGGGAGCAGAGACAAAATTTCGAAATCAAGTTCAAATGTGGAACACGTATAAGAAAAGCTGAATGATTTCCAACTGTAGCGTGACTGACACTTGAGAAGTGAGATCAGCTGAATGACAGAAATGAGAGGCAGTAGTGTCTGATGATTTATTGCAGATCACATGGACCCATACAAATAGGATAGTACTCTCAAAGTCAAGGCCAGACAGAAGCTGTTTGAGTCCTTACAGCTGCCATATGGACGCTCGTCTAGTCACACACACACCACATACACACATGTTGTCAGTCCTGCTGTCCAGGAGCCTGAATATGATGAGAGTAGCAGTGTTTGGTTGGCGCGTGCTGACTACAGTGAGTCTACTATGCTGAGCAGAGGCCACCTTTTTCTTAACAGTCAGATGTTACTGTAAGTTGCAGGACGGGGAACAGATCTATATGTAGCTCTAAAAGCCTAGAGCAAGTTATGTCCTTTTTTTTTTAACAATTTACAGACATTTCCAGATCCCAGCACTGACTTGAAAAGAAGTCATTAAGATCTGAAAAAGCACCCACCAGTGATGATAAGATAAACAGCCCAGTCTCTCAAGGATCTGATCCCATATCACAGCAAAACCATTTCCTCTGTATCCTCAGAAGGATAATATAGCCGGGCAACAGGTGGCCTGGAAATTGAGGCACTGCTAGCTAAGGTAGCCAAATAATGTTGTTTATTGTCACACAGGCAAAATGTGTGCGCATCCAAGCAGATGTCACAACCAGAAATAACAGCTAAGGCTTCAATACTTTATGCTATTCAGCAGCTGACTCTCTTCACAGCTCTCAACCAGGAGCTGTTACGCGGATCAGCAACTTGACAACAAGTTCATTCAGCGATCATTGCCTTTCCTTCCAACTTTTCAACAAGCAGCAATCAGTTTGAACTCACTAGAGTGAATGTGGGGAAAGCATCAGCTGTTTTGTTAAAACCGTCGATGTGTCAAGTTGTTTCACAAGTGGCAAGCAAGACATTTAAAACACCCAGCTACTAAGAAAAACATCCAAAATGACTCAGATTTTCATCTTTGCATTTGCTCATACCAAACTGTTGCCCATCCCCAACCACGATCACGGTCTCTTCCTCTTTCACAGTCCTCTGCAGGGATTTTACTGCTGCTGGTTCACACCTCTCCACAATGGCCACATCAGGGGGTCTAATGCTCTCACCTCAGAATAGAGAAGCTGTTGTATTAAACATGGGGGATTGCAGCTGTTGGAGCACTTTGCCTCTCCACCCCTCTGACCCCTGCTGCACCCACACATGCATATACAGAAGCTCACATTCATAGGCAAGAAAGGCTAAATGTTACCTAAATATTCCTAAATAATAAAACTGATTCCAATTTGAATTTCACAAGAGGACAATGGCGTCATGTGCTTATTGCCATATAAAGGACAGCCCATATCAGATTACTATAGAAGTGAGTCATTTCATGATTCAAGGTAAAACAAACCAGGCTTGCTGGCAGTGAGACATTAAATCTGAAGTATCAGTCCGGCCAGCCCTGACCATTCCAAAACCAAAGTAAACCTGACATCCTCGGGACATTGCTAATAGAATAGACATTACAGTGGGGTCCAGTGGCCCTTTAAAGCCATCATCACCATCCACGTTGACATCTGTTTCCACTGCAACACACAGAGACTCAGTATAAAAAAGTATCTTTAACTAAAAGAAAAACAGCAAAACTTAGAAAGAGACTACAGTGTAACCTCGCTAACTATTCCCGCCTGACTTCACAAAAACCTGCATGAATATTTCCCACCTACTGGCCAGTAGGTGAAAACAACATTTGACAACAGAAGATTAAAGCTGCTTTTTAAGGCTAATAAATTTAAAAAAAAAGAAATGAGTCACAGTGAAAGCTCCTCCAGTGGAAAATGGTAAACAAATTCTGCCATTAGACAAAGGGCCCCTTTGTCTGCACGTAACAACGAGAACCTGGATGAAGAAAAGCTTGGCAACCCAAATATACAAGCTGTGCTGTGCTGCAGCTCAAACACTTACTGGTTTGATTTAGAACCAGGTCTATAGAACAGGACACCAATGAAAACAATAACAGAAATAAGACTGATCATATATGGAGAGCGACCCCTGCATAGGCACAGAAAAAACACTGCTGCATTAGCAGCCAGTCCAGTGTCAATATTAGTTTAACTCTAACACTGTTTGAGAGATTAAACTGTAGGAGAGTTACCAACATGGACTGGCTGACCTTGCCATGTGTTTGTCACGGCCAAACCAGGACAGACACAGGGCTAAGCTAATCCATATCACCAAACACATCACTGAAACACATCAACCTGTCTCTTCTGCTCATACACTCCAGGCAAGGTATGTTATTGTTTACAGCTCCTGATCTTTAACCTTTTCTATCTCGGTATGATCCACTCCTTTATCCATGCCAGACACCAGAGAAAGTGAAAGAGCAGTCAGTTAGTGGTTGTGATTAAGTGGTTGAGGAAAGAGTAGGCCCTCCAAAGTCCATGTAGAGGAGGGTACACAAGGGGACTGATGTACACAGAAAACAGCAAGCCTGTGAAATGTCCATCTTCACTCAACATGGAGAAACATGCTCACACAACAGGGAACCATATATCCTCTTGCTCTTCCTGCCCTGTTCTGACAAGAGCTGTCACACATAGTTCTATCCTCAGGCGTCCTTCCATGGGGGGCCATCCACAAATGTCTAAATTTAACTTTATTATGTCATGCCAAAGGGCATGGCAGACCCACATATATAAACTAGCTGTCAAGGATCATCAAACTGGGTGAAAGCAGCCCACTTCTTTGTTGACTTGACAGCAGCTTTATTGATAGGAGAAAGTCTCAGTCTCTGAATCCACATCTGCAATCTGCATGGATGAAAAGCAGCAATAATTTTACCTAAAGGTTGGAGCCAGGCTCACAGCAGTTCATCCTGACAAGAAGAATCTCTTTGTGCAACCCTCAACTGACCTCACAGTGGTTCCAGATACTCCCCCACATCTTATGGCTCCAAAAATTGTGGACGATGATGATGTGATGGCAAAACAAGAGATAATAGGAACTCATTTCATGTCACTGCTGATAATGTTTGATGTGTACACTTCTAAGAAAGTGTGGATGAAATGTGGCAGATGAATGTGGTTTGCAGATAAAGCGATGAGTAATGGTTTTAAATGTGCTCTCTCAGACTTTCGTTTTATTTGATGTCTGCCTTTTGAACACAGATCACCAGGAGGAAAATTACAGGGCAGTGTGTTTTAGGAAACTACATTTAAGCAATATCCTTGTCCTGGACATATAAACCATTGTCTCACGTCCGCTTCCAAGAGCAGAGCGACTCAACTGTAAAAAAGTTCAGATTAAGTCATCGGTAAGATGACGTCTACAGTGTCTGATACTTAATGAGACTAGGAGTTATGATGGGGAGAAAGGCTAGACAGTGGGGGAAGGTTTAGGCGATGGGTGAATTAAAAAGCCTGCAGAATGACATCAGCATAGGAGGAAATAAGGAGGGGAAAGCCGGAGAGGGGGAGAGGGTTCTGTGCATGCAAGCTTCACATTCTAAATCATACAGCTCTCCTAAAACCCCTGCTTCCCAGGCAGGGAAATAAAAACCAATAGCAGAAGGAGTTTAAAGAGACAGTCAGGGCCATAGAAGAGGAGGAAATCTGTTCATGTCTGAGAGTCTGCCATCCAGGGAAGTGGGGAGGAGAAACAGGGAAACTAAAGCTGATGCTCGCAGCCCACTCGGCACAAAGCCCGTTCTCAAATCACTGCATGCTGGCTGCTTGAACAGTGGTCTGAGAAACTGTTCAGCAGACACATCGTCAGCCAGAGAGTGTGATTACATTGGAGTGAAGTCCTGACTCCAGCTGTATAACCTTTTGTTAATGATTACTGCAATTACAGGTTTGAGTGGACTCACCAAAATATAGTGAATGGTCAGCAACACAAAAAACAAACACAAATGCAGAACTGTCAGGAACTAATGTAATCTATGTCTTATCTTTTCCTGCATTCCAGCTGGTAGAAAGACTATATGATCCTGGGACAGAGCATCCCCCACCCCACCCCTTATTTATATTCCCCACAGAATACTGGAGTATAAGTCCTGGTAACAGCCATGCCTGCCAAAGTTTTACTTCCAAAAGTGACTGATGCCAAAAACCCCTCGGGAAGAATACTGAGACGGTCACTGCATGCTAAGAGTCACTGGGATCACATCTCAGATGAACCAGGAAGCATCAAAATCAGCCACAGCATTTAATACCGAGATTTGATCGCTAAAGGTTGCAGTGAGGTAGCATGTTCTGGGGTTTCGAGGCAAGGGCGGATTAAAAGGTCATCTTAATTTTGTAATTTGGTGGGACAATGAGATTAAGCTTTGAGGAAGATTTCCGAATGTTCCGATCTTTGATCTTCATCTCAATATAAAAGACTGAAGCTTTCAGTCTTTTATATTGGAGTTATGTGGGCTTTATTTCAGAAAACACTTACAACAAAAAATCAAATTTTCTGGATAAATTCAATTGCAGTAAGTTGTAGGCAGACTGACCGTGTGCGCTCTGTGCGCAAGGCATGCGTCCAGGAAGCACAGTATACACACAAAACCCCGATTTTCCGAGCCAAAACAACATCCCACAAATGAAATGTGTTTCCTATTGGAAACTTCTGACTTTAACGGGTGAGCTGTAGATGGCTGAAGTTTGGCCAGAAGTTCCGAAATACTTCAATGAACACTGCAATCTGTGCGCAATATTTGCGTACAACTGGGAAACTTGAATTGCCCAGATAAACCTCAAATGTTTCAGACCTTATACGGAAACTATGTTATTTATATTTTTTATTTTTTTTTACTACATAACGTTCTGCAGTTACATTTTCTGTTTTCTATATTAAGCACACTTACCTGCCAGAATCAGACAAATAAAAGTCAACTGCATATCCGAAGTAGCTCCCATTGGGTCCGCTGTAAACAGCTGGGTTCTCCACATCCAAGTTGAAAGCCTTGCAGGCAGGCTTAGAAAAAGTCAGTAATAGCCCGATAATACAAAGGAATGAGCGTGCGAGAAAGGCTACTATCCCCGGCGTCTTTGTGAGAAATCTCACCAAGCCCATTTTTGACAATAAATTAATCCACTAAAGTTAGTTTTGAATGGCGAAATTGGCCAAATGTTTTGTTTTCTAGTCCGTAGATGAAGCCTGTAAACAGTGGGGAGTAAAACTACAGTTGCATCCCTGTAACTCTAAGCGGCCAATATCTCATTAATGCTCCGTCAGCTCCTCTCGGCGTCCCCGCTCTTCTTGCGGCTTCTCTCTCTCTGCCCCTCTTCAGACCCACGCCTCCTCTGCTCACCTAATCAGGATACATACAGCAGGGAGTTCCCAGACCCGTAACAGAGTTTAGAAGAGGAGGAGTTTGTGATTCCCTAAAAAAACGAAGAGAAAGAGGGGAGAAGAAAAAAAAACTTCGAAGAGGGATCTTCTAATCCACTAACCCATATGTTTACTAATGTGATAGAAATGCTTTTATCACTCACACTAAGACTGTTAACAATGGACCTTAAAGCCTCTTTCTGATTTTATCTCACACTTATCGTGACCCTTTGAGACCAAATTTGTTGGCAGAGAAGGTAGGCTGCTAGGTGATTGAAAGGTCAGTGAAACGTCACTTCACGCTTTTTTTTAAAACTATAAATATAACTGCTTCGCTTTCCAAATGCAAGACTCCCATGTGCCTTTTCCCCTTCCCTTATGACCTATTTGCATAAATCTGTACTAATTATACGTCCATCAGCCACTCTTGGATCTCAATGTGTGATCCATATGTATTTCTATCTAATTACAGTGTGGATCTGATTTGGGCATATGATGTCTTCTGGGGAGCTTAAGGGGGGGTGTAGGAAGATTATGTATTTCTGTCTGAGTCACACGAGAGAGGAGCAAGGAAAGTGGTTAGGCTGTGGAAAAGCATCTACTCACTGCAATGAGACCTTTAATAAACCAATCCAGGCCGACTGGAATTAGTGACTGTTGGTTTAGCTGATTCATCTGAGGCCTCAGGGATTGAACACAGGGGCCAAATTTGGCTGTGTGGCAGTAGCAACATGAACTCTCTGTCAAGTGCTGCTCATATTTATAACTCTTCTAAGTGCTCTGACACACAGAGCAGAAACTGATGGGAGTAATCCAGAGGGTCGGGGGGGGCAGTTCACAGCTGTCGGGGGTGCTCGATGGTTCAAAGCCTTAATCCCAGAGAGGTCTCATTCTCTTACTCTGTTTTTAAGTCCCTAAGATGAGAGTGCTGGTTCATTTTGAGCCAAAGCACAAGGTGTGGTTAATAGACAAACGAGCTGTACCCATAAAAAACATTTGTTGTTGAAAGTTTTCAGCTGAGGTCATGGTCTGTTATTCAGAAACCCCAACACACGATGGCTCTCAAATAACAAGATAGTGCATCTTCCAAAGGTGCACTGCTGTTTTATAATGATGCTTCTGGATGTTCTGAAATCTGAAGCAGTTGGAGGTAGTCATGGTGGTGCAATCAGAGTCCTATGACCTCATGCATGAGGTTAGACACAGGGTATAATAGTATCAGCAAATGATAATCAGCTCTTAGTCATCACGGGCTTCTTTTTTGTCTACTTACTGACAGCCATAGGTTTCGTGCTATCTGTGCACACACATTTATCTGTGTGACCTGTTGAAGCATCAGAGTATTGGTTACATTTTCCTTTGAAGTAATTCCTCCTCTACTTCTTTTCATGCATACCTGCATGTACGCCATCAAGCAGGAACAAGCCAGTGCACAAAGCGTGCTCCGTTATTAAGTATGTTCTGTGCCTAAAACCAGAGTCTCTTTTGCTTTCGGTGATGTGTAATTGGGTCTGGCTAACTGAACAGTATTTTCCATCTTGTCTTTTCGGTTGAAAAGGGGGTGTGGTTTTATTCCAATGCCTGGACTTTGACATCATCACTCAGCCTCTATGGCAACAGATTTGAAGTGCTGCAAAACACTTATAGCACACTTCACAGGACTCAACACAGCTGGTCAACTATTTTAAATATAGAACTGACATATTGGCACTGTGGTATAGCCTCTATGCAGTACGTACATGTATGCGAACCCATGCATACACACGTATAGTGTCTCTTGACTCTTTCTCTGTAATAACTGAGGATATGCTTTACAACAAACAAGCATCTATCACATGTTAGGACAGCTATATCAAGATGTGAAGGTGTGAAATCATGCTTTCACATGGGTAAGTTCTGTTTCTCGGTTGGTTTACACAGTGCAACAAGGTCGAGGTCTCCCCCCAAAGGCAAAGAAAGAACAGACATCGTTTTCAATTAATGATTAAGTTAAAATAAATCCAAAGAAATTTCTGATGAAAGGTTAGTCTAATAGCATCAGAAAACTCTCACTTTTTAGTCTCCTTAAATAAATCACATTTGTTCTGGTTATTTTCACTCCTTGGTATTCAATGACCCCCTGCAAAGACTATGTGACCCTCCAGGTGGGCTCATCCCCCAGTTTGAAAACCACTGTCTTAAGCTAAGGGTGTGGTGGCCCCAGCTTAGATATAAGACTGTTACTAATAAATAACAGTTATTTCTTTTGTTCTCCCTTTTAAAGTGGATCTGCAATAGAGCAGTGCACTTCAACTGTAAAAAATATATTCACAGTGAATAAAATCATTTAAGCTTTGTTAAATAGAGGGAGCTCTGTGAAGAGTGCTTTGGGATGCAAAGACTAAACTTTACATTTAAAGATGAAAAATGTTGGAGTGTGAAGTGAGAAGGAATCAGGCTTCCCAGACCTCCTAAGCAGTTTGTGTCTACCAGCTTAACACTACATTAGTTTCTAATACCACAAACACTCAAATCCCCAACTGAAATTAGGTTGTACTGTAGGTGTACTGTGGCAAAGAAGACAGTTTTGTAAAATACTCGAAGTTTCAAAATAAAGGTAATCTCCAGCTCTAATTCAGCAAACAGTCATTACCAGCTATTAATCTTTGTTCCAGAAGACACCGACCTCCATCCCACCTCCTGATCTCATTTCTCTTTGTGTCACCAACTGTGAGATGATACTGATAGGCTCCACGGGGCTGGAGAGACACCCTGACGGTAACTGTTTTGCTTTTAAGTCACAGAGTAAACACCATTTTACCACCGGGAAACAGACAGTAAATAAAGGCCACAACAGATAACTCAGTAGTTCAAACCCAGACAGGTCACGAGTGACAATGATTAAGAAGTTTAACTTCTGTTTGTTTCTTGTGTTTTTAACATTTAGTGGAATTTTGCTCAGAATAAAAAGTTTTTCTAATCAAGAAAAATGATGCCAATGATGGAGAATGTGGTTTTTGAATAGAGGGCTATATTATTGTGTAAAACCTAACAAAGACTTTGAGAGGAATAGGACACTGAAATTAGATTCTTCAGCTAATGTAAATGGTAAGCCTAAAAGCTGTCTGTCTGTTTCTCCTAAGCAGGAGAAACACAATGACACACATCTTACAGGCAGGAAATTCCTCTAGTGTAAAAGCCTGCCTGGTTTTCCTGTTTCACTGGGTTCATACTGTTCACTCTGTTACACTTCACTCGCAAACACACCTTGAATATATGCGCAGTCAGTTCCTATCAGCTTTGCTTTCCCATCTGCACTCTGTAACATTCCCCATGTTTATAATAGAAGGGTGGTGAGTGTTGCTGATATCTCCCGCTAGTATGAGACACTTCATACTGGATGACAGATTTGTCATGATGGGGTGGAAGTCCTGAGCCGGCCCGTGTTGCTGAGAAGCCCGTCTATTGTTTTCAACACAAGCTCTTAGCAACACAGTGGCTGAATCATATGATTGTTTCAGATGTTGAAATCTTTCCGGAGGCTCCTTACAAGGGAAAGTTTACCCACCCTGGTGCATTATGGTTTCCTCTTATGAGCTTTTACTGTCAATACAAACAAATTGAGACAACTTGTGTGGGTAGTAAGATAACTCAAACAGTGTCCGTTGTTTTGTTGCCTTTTTTAAAAGAGTCATAAAATGGCTGAAAATGAGCAATTTTGGTTTTTATGTGCATCTGCAAATCAGTTTAAGGAAGCAGGGTACTAAAGCGGGGAAACGACCCCACTATCAACTCCACCAGCCTTGTTCTACGATCCATAACACACACACACAAAGCCTCTCTAACCTGCCTGCATTTACAGCTCACTGCGCTTCATGGAGTGTTTAGTCTCTGTGGTCCCTCAATTGACATGTTTGCCTAAATACACAACTTTTTAAGAGGCTGCATAAAATACTTGACATCCTTTAGAGAAAGGTCACTGATTCAGAGTGTCCAGGCTGATAAAGTGAGACAAAATGCCAGCACCTGGCTATGGAGCATTGAACAAGACTGGCAAGAGAGTGAAAACGCACTTTAATACTGGTATCAGCAGTGAAGCTCAATAGTGCTTAAATACTTCAAGCTGGACTCAGGAAGCAACATTTATATGTTATTACATTAAAAAGAAGAAGACACTGACTGTTGAGGTCTCAAAACTGCAGAATTTGAATTAAAACACAATATTGAACAAAAAAAAATGTGTGCACTGCCCTTTGGACAATTTTGCATTCACGTTCAGGGTGTCATGTTTTGTTTGGATGGTCTATTTGTCTCACAGAGTAATGATATGCCCCCTGACCCCCTTCTGTGTTTTGCTATTGGGGCAGGCGCACTACAGGGCTGCCGCCAGGCCCCTGTGCGAAGGAATGCGACTGTTAAAATGTGTGGATCTGGGGGTACAGCAGGAGAGGGCACTGAATCAGTGTGAGCACTGAGAGAGCCTCAGGGTATTGTTTAACACACACACACACACACACACACACACACACACACACACACACACACACACACACACATAACCATTCACACATTCCCTCCGATTTGCTTCCCACACCCACTCCCTCGGCTAAATATGTTTGATAGAGCTCATATGGAAACAGACGCACCGGCTTTGCGGGAACAAAAACAAACTGCACTAGAGTAAAAATCTATCTATCTCTCTCTCTATCTCTCTCTATCTCTCTCTCTCTCTCTCTCTATATATATATATATATATATATATATATATATATATAAAAACACAACACCCAGCACGCCCCTGCGGGCGGTTTATCCTTCAAGCTCGGGTCCTCTACCAGAGGCCTGGGAGCTTGAGGGTCCTGCGCAGTATCTTAGCTGTTCCCAGGACTGCGCTCTTCTGGACAGAGATCTCCGATGTTGTTCCCGGGATCTGCTGGAGCCACTCGCCTAGCTTGGGAGTCACCGCACCTAGTGCTCCGATTACCACGGGGACCACCGTTACCTTCACCCTCCACATCCTCTCGAG